CGGTCAGGCGAGTCCATGGCCGCCTGCGTGTCGGCCTTGCTGGGGGAGGAGGCGCCTTCAGAGGGTCAGCTTCCAGGCACGCCGCAGACCCGGGAAGGAGGTTTTGGAGGTTTCGGGGGTGTAGGTTTGGGGGATTTGGGGTTGGCCGGGGGGTCAGGGGAAGGCTGGTGGGAGGTCACATGAATTCAACCCAGTGTTGAGCTCGGCGTTCAAGGAGTTTCTGGCTGGTGGCATAAGTCCGAGGGATATTCACGAAGCCACGTGATTGTGCTCGTGAGCTTTTTTCTTGGTCTTGCAGCACTTTTCAGAGGGATATTCCACGGCTTTTTTTGGTTAGTCACGGAACCTCGCAATACGTGCCCAACGCATATTTCTCTTGCACAGATAAGAATGTGTATCGTTTTGCCCGAACATGTGTACGTACTTCTGGGGAGTCGGACGCGAAATGCAGTTTAAGAAACACAATTCCAAGGAACTTGCTGTTTATGACATGGTGGACATCCAGAACCAGACAATACTAAGACTGGAAATGCTGGGGATGCCGGGGATGCAGAACAGTGCATCCCAATCCAATAGCAAACCGCATGATAATGCTGGAGACCCCTATGGGTAGCTTGAAACACCCAAGAAGATGAGACACGACACCGCCAATGAAGCACCTGCCAAACCACTGCAGGCTTTTTGCGGACATGGCTCTCCCAATTCTTCACCGCGTAATAAGAGGGACGACATTGGGCACGCGAACAGTAGGAAAGGGGTTGTTCACGAAGCAAATCCCAAATCAGTTGGAAGCACAATGAACACTGGCTGTGGCTCAGGGTTTTAACAATAGGAAACGGGTTGCTCACCAAACAAATCCCAAGTCAGGAGACACAATGATAATTGGCTGTGGCCACAATGACACAATGAACATTGGCTGTGGCTCAGGGTTTTAACAATAGGAAACGGGTTGCTCACCAAACAAATCCCAAGTTGGAGACACAATGATAATTGGCTGCACAATATGTGAACATATTTTGGGGTGAAACAGACTTTCGGGGGCATGGGAGAGGGTCGGGGTGTGGCCTCTTGAAGGGGATAATTAGCTACCGAAGGGTTCGACTGGGGCAAAATTCAAAGCTCAACGTGGCCTGGCAAAGTTCATGAGCTCTTGGCAAGGAAGATCTCTGGGCGTTCCTGTCGATCGGGCTTCAACTATTTGAATGGAGCCGGCAAAGTAATTTTGCGAAATCAGCGCAGATCACTGTGGGCGGTGATTGAAGGACACCAACTAGTTTTCATTGCCCCATTTGGGCAATCTTGCGCAGAGTTGACTCTGGAGCTGCGAATAGCGGCTCTTGCAAAACTGGCCATTTCATTCATTGTTCAAACACCTGGAACCTCATTTGTTTCACATCTCTTGGCATATTCTGCAGCTTCTTGGCATCTCACCTTCTCCATATCGTGCTTTGGTCACAAGGCTGCACATGACAGTTTCCCTACTGACTAGCAAACAGTTCCATCTTCGCACGCGAGGCTCCAAGTCGTCTCAATGATCTTTGTTGCGAGCCGACCCGGTGCGTTGCCCGTTTCACTCGACTCTCTGGTTAGATGCTCGTCTCAGATCGGTATCTCATCTCCACCAACCATAGCGATGCGGGGGGAGCAGCAGTTCTTCGCCTTTTTCCCCGGTGGGGGGATGCCCAACCCACTAAAGATGTTTTTCGTTTTTGGCAGGTTTCAATGTCGTGGACGAGAGGAACACCAAGCCTGCGGACATGAGCCACGTGGCCACGGTGGAGACGGTTCGGAGCCTTGGCCCACATGGAACCGCTTGGAACCATCAGATGCATGAAACACGGCGCAAACAGGGAACCCTCAAGACATCCCTTTGCCCCATCTTGGAACCATCGGACATGACAATCATGGATGGCCTCAAAGTGAACCTGGCACCATACTTCGGCCAAACGTTGAGCGGACACACAGTGGGGAGCATTTTGGACACGTCAACCGTTCTTTCATTCCTTCACAAGCTCGGTGCGAAGGAACCTGGGCAAGTTGCTGCATTCCTGAGGATATGAATCTCTTTGTTTTCTTTGGATGTCCGCTGGATGAGAAAAGAGAAGCCGCCGTCCTTTGCTTTGAGGTCTGGGTCCTCGGAACACCCCCTTTCTAACCACAGCCTGTGAGTCCACTCAGCGCGATCCACCCAGATCATTGGGTTGCGGTTTTGGGGTTGCGTTCCGAACAGCTCTCTTCAAACTTCGTCAAGGGTTCGCTTCGGGACTGAGGTGGGTTGCAGCGTTGATTTTTGGGTTTTGCTTTTCCGGTGCGGGGTTTGCGGATTTTATTCCAAGGCTTTCTGGGGTTAGAGTTTGGGGTTTGTCGTTTTAGGCGCAGTGGTTTGCGAGTCCGGGAAGCATGTCCACTTTTCGAGCAGACAATTTGGAATGCCTTTCCAAAATTGTGTTTAGAGGGGAACCCCCCACCTATTTGAACAATTCCTGAATCCAGGTTACTTCAAGACACCTGCTGAATACGTTCCGTTGCTCTCCTTCAGTGATCATGCCAACTGCATCATGCCATGTTCAGCTTTCAAGTCAAGTCCGTCGGTTGTCCGTTGGCGCCTATGGAACTGATCGCAATTTCTTTCCTCGACCTGGTGACCTCTGAGTATGTCCCGTGTCCAGGGACCCCTTTCAATTTCAAAAGAGCCAATATGACACTATGCTGCATAGTTTGCATTGGGTTGCTCTCATGGTCCATCAGCCATGGCAACCGTTTTTGGCCTTAGGTTATCTCTCAATTTCTTGGTTGGTAGGGTTGGTCGCGAGGATGAGTTATGAGCCAAGTAAAGAACAAGGGACAGAGTCCACATATATTGATATACGTGTCTTCCAATACATATATATATATATATGCACATATGTAAATTATTGCTATAATACCAAACATGCTTATATGTAAACACACATAATACACATGAACTATTCTTTTGCAACAGCAACTACTTTCTGGGAGCTTTGCTTGGACCATGTGAGGAAGCACTACGCTCAGTGGTGGCAGTGCTTGCGCCCACAGATCTTTTGAGCCAGTGGAGCGCGGCGTGTCAGGTCTCCAAACTGCGCTTTAGGGTGGACAGAATAGGAATCCCCCCTGTGCAGACCAAAGTGGACGGCTAAGGTCTTGCGGTTTCAGGGTTGTGCGTATCCACACTGCTCTTTGACCTGGGGCAGGCCACGCATTTGCGAGCCATGGGCCGCAAGCCCAAGGGGTACACAATTGATCAGGTTTCTCTTCCCTTCATGAGCACACCAAGCAACTGGTGACTGTGCTAAGTGGCTATTTGTCAGGACGAGTGGCCCTATTTTAAGCGGTAGACCAACAAGAAACTGGCCACTTGGCAAATCCAATTGGGCTTCCAGACACTTGACGCGATGCGCTGCGGAAGTGGCAGCTTTGTTGCGGTGCTCGAGCTGTCCACGAGGCTAGAAGCAAGCCACTGGATACGCCAACGCCAAGGTTTCAGCCAGTTTGTCTATGTCTAATCACTACGCAGGATCGCCCTTTATTTCCAGGTCCCTTTACGCGAGATGTCGGTGAGATTCGGCAGAGAGCCAGCCATGATGAGAGCCGCGGGAAAACACAACTCCGCAGTGGGGGCGGGGGGTTTTCGGCCTTCCTCATACGCGGATCTCGAGAAAGATTGGTTCTCAAGTCAAGCACTCAGCCCATGACTCACTTCTTTGCGGAAATGGGATGAGAAGGACGTCGCAATGAACTAGGCTACAATGGCTGAACGTTTGGCTAACTTGGGAAAATTGAGGGACCCATACAAATGTGGAAAACTTGGTGTTTATGGGGGGCCGCTTGATTGTCGTTAATTTCCCTCTCAAGAGCGATAAAAGGCGGCTCTCTGGTGCAAAGGTGTTTCTTTTCAAGGGAATGTAGGGATGCTTCTTGCAGAACTCCTTGCAAAGGAAGCCTTTGACCCAAGATTTGGATTTGCTTGAGACGGCTTTGCATTTTACTGATTGAAGAGGAAGCTGATCATGACTGCTCGGTCATCCTCCAAATTAGTCTTGACCCGTCGTCCAGGTGCACGTGACGGGAAACTGGTATGCACAGAATATAAAATGAGCTCACTATGATGTGGGTCCTTTACGCGGGGATCCCCTGAGTTTGACGGTGCTTTGGCTTGACCTTTGCCATTTCAGCCTCTCGGGCAATTGCAGGTTGCAACCACCACGATGATATTTTTTTGTGGTAATGGATTAGTTTGATCTGTCCAGTATGACTCCCTCTTTTGAACGGTTTGACCATCACCCTGTTGGTTGCCATAGTCAGTTGAGTTTCGTTTGTGGGACATGTTGAAAGTCAGCGTATTGTTGTTATGTCTGATCTTGACCTGTGCGACGTTGGATCTTCCAGCATCCCAAATTGCCATCATTCGCCAAACTTAATGTCAACATGAACAATGTCAGTGAACGAGCCACGACTTGTCTTATGGTTTTATTTTGGTTTCCCTTGCAAACAGCTTCAGAATACATCCGTGTTGGTCCTCGAAAACAAAGCCTCCCTCCCCACAGCCGCCAACGGATCCGCTCTATGGGAGCAGACCCGACACAGAAAAGTCGCCCCCAGCTCCCAGCGCTTCCATCAATCAGCGGCCAGAAAAGGCATATGGGACTTGTGGGAAGGTTTCAGGGCCACTTTCTTTCACCCAGGGAATCCCCTTTGCGGCGACAAAGATAGGGATGGATGGCCAACGTGCTCATTTCCCGCATGTAATAGCCAGTACCGATGACCTTGCTGAAACAACAAACCACTTTGTCTTTTGCAGACTTGTGATTTTGCAGGGTTTTACAGATCTGGACGAATTCTGGGTTCCCTTGGAGGAACTGAGACATAAAGCAACCCACATAGGCTTTTGTTTTCATTTCATTCCCTTTCCCCTCCCTTTCTTCCGAGCTGCCCAAAAACCCAGAGAAAACACAACGAGGGCTTTCTGAACGGCTGAGATCGGGTACAGCCTCTTGAGCGTGTCCCCGGAGCGACACCTGGATTTCATGAACGCCATGACGGGCCGCGGGCCCTTTGAGAATGGCACTTGGGCCCGAGAGCCATCGGGCAGATTTTGTTGCAACCAGACCCATAGGGTACTTTCAGATCCCATAGTCCAACGAGCCAAAGTTCCGGTTGGGTGTCCGTGCCCGCCGAAATCAGTCCATTCCTGAATTGCCCTGATAGACAACACATCTAGTGCCCACACCTACTTTTCTGCAGATCCATTCTTAGAGCTTGTTAAGCGGAGTGGGCGCCGATTTTCTGGGCCTTAAAAACTCTTTTTATGCGGGAACCCCACCGGAGAAATGCCCTTTCGAGGAAAGTCTTCCAGACTTCCAGGAGGGTTCCAGGTTAGGATGGTTTCCCAAAAGATCGATGGGTGAAACGACTGTGGGAATCACCTTTAAAACAGTTTCACGTTTTGACATGGGGAGCAGGAGCATTTGGTCAAAACTGTGGACCTCTGGGACCCGCAACACCCGTTTTTGGTTGCAAACGCCTAGTCACAAAATATGACGTCTTGAGGGCCTTTGACAGGTTCTTCGGCGTTTAAACTTGGATTTTTTTCTTTCAATTGGTCGCTTTCATGCTGGCCTCACTTTGCCAAGAAAGCAGGGGCTTCAGCTCGTTTTGCCAAAGACCGAGCAAAGAAGCCCACAACCCCTCTTCTCCTGACATGTAAAGCCACTTCCTACTTGACCCCTGTTTTGAGATCAATGTGTGTGTGTGTGTGTGTGTGTGTGTGTGTGTGTGTGTGTGTGTGTGTGTGTGTGTGTGTGTGTGTGTGTGTGTGTGTGTGTGTGTGTGTGTGTGTGTGTGTGTGTGTGTGTGTGTGTGTGTGTGTGTGTGTGTGTGTGTGTGTGTGTGTGTGTGTGTGTGTGTGTGTGTGTGTGTGTGTGTGTGTGTGTGTGTGTGTGTGTGTGTGTGTGTGTGTGTGTGTGTGTGTGTGTGTGTGTGTGTGTGTGTGTGTGTGTGTGTGTGTGTGTGTGTGTGTGTGTGTGTGTGTGTGTGTGTGTGTGTGTGTGTGTGTGTGTGTGCGTGTGTGCGTGTGGGTGTGTGTGGGTGTGTGTGTGTGTGTGTGTGTGTGTGTCTGTGTCTGTGTCTGTGTCTGTGTCTGTGTCTGTGTCTGTGTCTGTGTCTGTGTCTGTGTCTGTGTCTGTGTCTGTGTCTGTGTCTGTGTCTGTGTCTGTGTCTGTGTCTGTGTCTGTGTCTGTGTCTGTGTCTGTGTCTGTGTCTGTGTCTGTGTCTGTGTCTGTGTCTGTGTCTGTGTCTGTGTCTGTGTCTGTGTCTGTGTCTGTGTCTGTGTCTGTGTCTGTGTCTGTGTCTGTGTCTGTGTCTGTGTCTGTGTCTGTGTCTGTGTCTGTGTCTGTGTCTGTGTCTGTGTCTGTGTCTGTGTCTGTGTCTGTGTCTGTGTCTGTGTCTGTGTCTGTGTCTGTGTCTGTGTCTGTGTCTGTGTCTGTGTCTGTGTCTGTGTCTGTGTCTGTGTCTGTGTCTGTCTGTGTCTGTGTGTGTGTGTGTGCGTCTGTGTGTGTGTGTGTGCGTCTGTGCGTCTGTGCGTCTGCGCGTGTGTGCGTCTGTGTGTCTGTGTGTCTGTGAGTGTTTGTTTCCTGTTCTTCTTTCAATGTTGAGCAAGGAGCGGTTGTGGGATGTTGGGCGTTCGGCCTCTTTTTCCGAAATGCCAAGAAAACCCAATTCACGTGAGAAAGTTGTCACAAGCCGGGGGTTTTTCCGGGCCCACATAACTCTCCTATTGGGACCAGGTCCTCCAAGGTTTCAATCGTACCCCCGAACAGCCGGTTCACACCACGGCCATAGGGACGTTGCCTTGCTCGGACTCGACTCGGCGCGTCGATTTGGGCCCGGCTCCGAGGCATCATCGGTTTTATTGCCGCCTTCATCCAGCCGCAGTTTGCGATGTACCAGGCGGGTTGAATCTGCGCAGGATTTCAGAACCGGATCAGATTCTCAAGAAGGTTCCAATAACCTTTTGGGTGGGGGCGGCTTCAGTTCTTCATGATGCGGAGTTGAGGGTGGCGTGAGTGCAGCGGGTTGCACTTGGCTGCCTCTGCAACCCGAACAGGAGATTCAGATGAGCATGGAACCCATAAGCAGCCACCACTTGTGGAGGAGTCATGATCCTTTCCTCTTGGGGGAGCCCTCTTTTTGGTTCCACGTCATGAAGGTATATTTTTGTGGGACGGGAAAAGCAATCTGAGCCAATGTTGCCTGAAGGGAGGTGGGGTCTTTGCATGTCTGAGCGGCTGTTTGGGTACGCGCATATAGGGAAGAATGTGAATTTCTCATCCAATCAATGGGTTTGGATGGGATACGGAACCTTCAACGGGGGCTTCGGTTTCCTTCTGGATCCCTTTGAAGGAAAGGGGGTCCCCTCAAAAACCAGCACCCACATGGGTGGTTCCGGAAATTGATTCCCCTTTGAGCCCTCAACTCAAAAGGCTGGATGGGGGGCTTCTTCAATTTTGTGTGCACGGCTCCTTCGGGACACTCGCGCGTGAGAGCGAGGTGATGGAGTTGCTCGAGGGCCCGGACTTGTTCGACTTCTTGGCCAACCGCTCCGCGCGCCTGGAGGAGGTCACCGCCAGGGGCCTGGTGAGGCGTGGGGTGGGGGCTGCTGGGGGGTTGACGGTGAGCCCAGAGGCAACCATCGGGCGGGCGGTGGATGGGTGGGCGGTGGGGTGATTGGTGTTGGGTGGTGGGTAGCGGTGGGTGTTGGGGAGGTGTTGGGTGGGTGGTGGGTGGGTGGTGGTGGAGTTTGAGGGAGGTTTGAGTTTTGCCTTCTTGAGGGTTTCGACCAAAGACGCTCGTTTAACCATGAAAGGACATCCCCAAAACGAGCCGACGCTCTTGAAGGGATGCTCGTGGTTGGGGGTTTTGGCACAAGGTCTGGGGTTGGCGAGGTCGCACTGTGAGGGACCCCTACGAGACCTCGCCTTTTGGACCAAGAGCTGCTTCTTGGGCTCAGGAATCGGCCTGTTTTCAAGTCCAAATTCCCTGAAATTCGGCCTTTGTTGCAAAGTGTTTTTTTTTGGGCAACGGTTGGACAGTACGTTAGGCACTCCGGTTCTCTCAAAGTTAGGGACTCCTCTCACCTGCGGGAACAAACAAGGACCAGCCCAAAAGAAGTTTTCAGCCTGGCAGTCGCCTGGGGACTCGCAGGCAGATGGTGAAGGCCCAGTGGGGCGGTTTCGAGGGGTGGGTGTCCGAGGGTTCCTTTGGCGCAAAGCTCGTGCCCCTTGCTTCTACATGTCTTTGACGCTTCTCAGTTCTGTTTGGTCGGATATTCTTTGGGCTCGAGCTCTTTTTTTATGGGGGGTTTCCACAGACACAACATTTTTGGTCAAGCGGGATGTCCTGACCGTTTTCGAATAGGCCATGTCCTCTGTGAAAGTACAGTCGAGCATCGGGCATGATTTCCAGTTGTATGTAGTGGGGTCGACGCCCGAACTTCCTGATATGTGTTTCCAGAGATGCTTGTTTGGTTCAAGCATTGCATCATTGGCTTTGTGTCAAGAACAGGGATCCTTCTGCATGGTTGGTTTCCATTGATTTTCCGGCAGCTCCCCCCCAACAAGTCCCGATCCGCAAATGCTTGGGTTGGGAAGGACATAGGCCAGGGTTCACCAACAATTTTGACACGGGCTCATACGGGTTTTGCTAAAACAGACCCCCTGCAAATGGAACTAGTTTTCTTCTGGCTTGCCTTGAAGCGCCCAACCCCATCGGCGACTATTAACATCTATGATATTATTGTCATGCTGGCAACACTCCAAAGCACTCTGTGTATGTTTCTGTGCATGTTTCTGTGTTGTGTGTGTGTGTGTGTGTGTGTGTGTGTGTGTGTGTGTGTGTGTGTGTGTGTGTGTGTGTGTGTGTGTGTGTGTGTGTGTGTGTGTGTGTGTGTGTGTGTGTGTGTGTGTGTGTGTGTGTGTCTGTGTGTCTGTGTGTCTGTGTGTGTGCACGCGTGTCAAAACAAAGGGGGGCATGCATAGCCTCGCTTTTCAAGAGGAACATCGACTTCCAAAAGGGGGCCTCTGCACTTCCATGCTTGTTGGCGGCGGGGTACTTTGAGGGGAAGCCAAAGTAATCCCATAGGAAGAGCAGAAGAGACGGGCCCGTGAAGCATTGGCTAAGGCCCCGAATTGATTTCCTCAGGATGGAACTGGTTAAGCTACCCAAAGAATGGCATAGAAGTTTCCCAGATTAATTGTCATTTGGATTCTCAAGTTGCAAGCTACAAGCCTGGAATGCAACTCATACTTGAATTTGTATCTTCTACCTCCCATAGAAACTCTTAGCAAAAACAAGTGACTGTAATTGTCATTCAAATTGTAAGATTAGGACACTTTTTAGGTCCGGGGGCGAAGTTCACCACTTCACGAGTTGGAATATGTGCCCAGCCAGTTGAAATGTAAAGACCGAGGTCCGTCCTCCCAACCGCGTCTTATGCCATTGGGAATTTTGCAGGTGCCTCACCAGACAGTACCCTTACGCTTTGTACTGGGATTGCGGATGGTCGCAAAGCTGACCTATGCACCCCACCAAACCCTTCAGAACCCAGGGACATGTCTAAATAGCCCAAACATGGGTACGATTGATTGAACGTTGTTTGGAGGTTCCCCCAAGCTTCACTTGATGGCTGTGGTTGACAGGTCGGACTGTTGATAAGGGCTTGAAGATTCCAGCAGCCAAAGGAAGCTGTTTGCGGCTGAATTCAATTGCCCTCAAACCACGTTCTGAATTATAGCTGAACGTGTCCCGAGTTTTCAGATTTGATCAGCATGTTCAGTCATGTATGGTGACGGGCTGTACACCCCTTGCCAATGAAACCCAAGGTTGGTGAAAGGGAATGTGCATTATGTGTACCCCAATGTGACTAATTCCTTCCGAGAGCGGCTCGCTTCCCGTGGGTGGAACCATCACTTTGAGATGGCTTGAACACTAGTTTGTTGCAAGTAACAGGTTATTAGCCCCCTGATGCGTTTCCCCAGCGAATTTGAGCCTTCATTGCACCTTTGGCGGCCAAGGCAATGGGACACACGGTATAGCCATGGTCTCTCACCAGAAAAGGTCAGGGGGCTGGGCAAAGGGCCTGTTTTGATCCGCTCAGGCGCTGCATTACATGCACCGCACCATTGGGGCGCTGCACCGACGCTCGAGCCAAGCAGTTTCTGGAGGGCACAACGGGCTAGCCACAGCCAGGAGAGATTTGGAGGGTTTGTTTAGAGTTGATGCTTGACCTATCGCCTTCAGCAAGGGATCGACGAGCCACTGCGAGTAGTAGGCGAGTAGGGGTGCTTTTGTGGAACCCTGGTGTGATTTCGAACTGCCTAAATCCCATCATAGCAAGTCGCCCAAGGACTCACTCACTCGGAAGTTGTACCAATGTTCACCCCTGAATCAAGGCGCCCCAAAATTCCAGGGTCCATGTTTGAAAATGTTTTTTCAAGGCAACCGCCTGAGTAACCGAAGACTTGGGGGTTGCACTCATTCCTATAATTGAGACAGCCAAAAAATGTGGCGTTCTCCGATTTCAGGGCTCTGTTTGCTGTTGGCAAGAAAGCTCCAACGCACCGCATTCTGAAGCCTTTCACATCACCTTCAAGCGGAGGTTCCTTGTTTCCAGTGGACCCGATCAAGGTGCGGCCTGCCGAACACGGCCAGTGCAAGGCCGAATATTTTGTTGTTTTGGCCGAATTGCTTGGCAAGACAAATAAAACAACTGAAGTATGAGAGGAGCCTTCATCATGGGCAAGGTACCATGAGATTGTCAATGATTTGCCCCAAACATATGAGGTTCCGCTTGGAATGACATGACTTTTTTATGTTTCAACCTGGAACATCACCCCACCAATGCAAAAAACTTGGTCAAACTCGGCAGCCAGGCGGTCTTTCGGAAGTATCACGGACCTTTTGGGCAAGCTACAAATCATCCCCAGAAACTTCTCATTTGGATTCCCAGGGATCGCCTCGATCCCCCCTAGGTTTGATCAGTCGATGCAAAGCGGGATGTTCCCAGTTCGGTTTTTGGGCTGCGGCAGCCGCGCATCGCCGAGTCGCCGAATCGGATTCGTGAGGCGACATCAAGCCGGAGAACTTTGGGTTCATCAAGCCCCCCACTGCCGGGCAGCCGCTGCCGGCGCTGAAGCGCCGTGCCTGGAGTGGCGTCGATCTTTTCCTCAGCCGGATGGATTTGGTGGTTGGGTCGCTTGAGGGTCGGTTTTGCAGCAAGAACTCAAGACATGTTAGAAAAGAGGTACACCAGCAGCGATTGATAAATGATTATTGAGAGTCTACACTAGCACCAACTGAAACAGCTGCCAGTGTGAAGATTATAAAGCTGCGGTCTCAAAACGCAAGTATTGTTCTCGGAGACCTCACAGCCGGGGGGGGGGCAGGGTGCAGCCTCACCCATGAAAGGCGACTAACCCCTATTTTTTGACTGGTGAATCATCATTATGATCCATATGATTGAACATCTCAAGATCAAGCACCAGGCACACTACCAACGATGAACTGCCTAGAGTCCGCCAAATGAACAGGCACTCTTCATAATTGAGGGGTGCCAGCCCAAATTTTCGTTTGGGGCCATGGAAACTCAGCAGTCAGTAAAGCATAGGCTATTGACTAGCAATAAAATATTGCTTGCCACCTAACGAGCCCCAAAGTGAAAGCCCCCCCCGAAGCTTTCACAACATCAGTCACTGAGGGGGAATCGCAGGGACTTGAGGAAAAAACACACTGGAGTCATTGGATCACCTTTTGACTGCTCTTTTGAACAGTGTTTCCTGAAAAGGAGGGGCGATGACTCGATGGCTTGCTCTCTCTTGATGAGGCTTTTCAAAAGACATGAAAGGAAACCCCGGCACCCCGCAAACCAACCCATAGTTCTACGACCCTATCCCCAGTCGCGATCCCGACGTTGAGTGGTCCCTCGGAAACCACCCCGTGTGGCGCAACCAGTTGCTTTGCCAACGCAACCTGTACCTTGTCGATAAAAGCCAAACAACACCTAAGCGGGTTGATTAAAAAAAAAGGCAAGCCCAACGAAAGCAAGCACGTTGAAAAACGCAAGCCAAACAAAACCAACACGTCAACAAAAAGCCCGCCTGATTGCCCGGAGCCTGTCCGAGGCTGTTTGACATGGGCCTCGCCTGGGTCCTGAAGGCGCCGGTCACGGAAGAGACGCTTGGGCAGATCTGCAAGCACAACGCTGGGGTGGGGGTAGGGTTGGGGTGGGGTGGGGGTAGGGTTGGGGTGGGGTGGAGGGAACCTGGGAAAATGATGGCCATTCCTTTCCCTTCGTTCCACCGTTGAATCTTTGAAGCCATGAATGATAGAGAAAGGAACAAAATGGAATGAGAACAGAAAATGATAGGAAAGCTATTCCTGATCCAATAGTATTTCCAGGAATGAAAAGAATCTGGAACGGAAAGGATGGGATTCTTCTTGGCAGAACATGAAATCCTAAGAAATGCATTTAATAGCAACAAGTATTAAATTACATTTAATAGCAACAAGAGAGAGTGGATAACGACATAACCCTTCGCCCTTGCCTATCCACTTCCAAGCCTATCAATCATCAACAGTGGATAGTTAGGGAAAGGATATGAAGGAGTGGAACGGTCCCTATCTTATTTGTCCATCATTTGGACCGTTCCATCGTGAATCTTTCATAGTGACAGGATCCAGAAATCCCGAGCGAAGAGAGAAACGATCATGTCCTATCAGATGGGGTGGGGGTGGTGGGGTGGGGTGGGGGTGGTGGGGTGGGGGGTTGGCGAAGCAGCAGGCCTTGGACACTTTGCATAGCTTGAGAACAGGGCTTTTTACATGTCTCAAGGGTTTGTGTTTGTTTGTTTGTGTGTGTGTGTGTGTCTTTGGGTGCTGGGTTTTTGGGCGTGCTTTTAAAGCCATCCCCAAAAGGCGTCCATTTGAACCCATCAGGTTTGGGAAGATGACAAGAGCATGCCTGTTGACAGGAAGGTCTACTTTCTTTTTGAGGAGCCTCCCTTTCCACTTTCACCATGAAGTTCAAAGAGGGGGCATGTATTTCCGGGCACATCATGGCGACCCTCGCTCTTGGCGGGCCCTCACTTTAGGTTTGATTGGCTCCCTCACACGCTGGTCGGACACAACATTTGCCGACCGGACACCGAATCAAGATGTGAACAGTTGGTGAGTTATAGCGATCCCGCACCTCGTAAAACTCGTGGGAACTCGAATGTCAGAATTGAACACCTATTCCCCATTCTGTACTGTGTTATTCCTTGCCTCTCAAGTCATAGTGTTGGATGTTGAGTTTTTGGAGCGGGAGCCCACTTGCCCCTGCAGTGGTGACAATTTAGGCATGTCTTTTGGAAGGTATGCTTAGGGGTTGCGTAAATTGGGAACTAGCGGGCAACCACCCTTTTGGGGTTCCCTGCTAGGTGGATTTTCAGTGTAGCAAAACACCGATTCCCACAGAGGCCTGATGCATGGTGGCCAGTCGAAGTGCTTTGCAACCGGGGAAATCAGGCGAACAGCCAGGACATGAAGATTCTTATACCCCTCAGCCCTCAGCTTGTTGCTGTTAGAAAGGAATCACCCCCAAGGACTGCCAAGAAGATGCTGCATGTGAAGCGCTGCGGTACAGCTTGCTACATGGCGCCTGCCCCTCGCCCTTGGCCTTGGGGCTTCGGATTTCGTGCCTTGGGGCTTCCTGTAAAAAAAAAACAACCACATGTTGTTTCTCCCCAAACACTTAACACGAGTTCTTGGTATTTGAGGTGATGTCTTAAGGACATACAGGGACCCCTGATTAAACTGCCAATGAGGGGAGGTTGTGTGGCGGGCTCACTTCCCACTGGCAAGACTCCGGGCAGAGGGCTGAGAACAATTGGGAGCGCACACAAGATGACTGGTTGTGTTTGAAACGCAACACGGGGAGTCCCTAGATAGATATGAGCAATGGTCATTTGTTGCTGGCGTAAATTGCAGGACAGGAATTGACATGCTACACTCATCGAATGACCAGAGGAAGGGAGTTACTCATCATCGCGTGGCTTGTATGGCTATGAATTTGAATGCACGTCAACTATAGTTGGACAACAATCCTCATGTGATGATGTGCGCTAAAGAGCCGCTAAAGGTCTGCAATTAAAGCTTATTCATGCCCATATACAGCCACTTCTTTCGAATCTTTGGAAGGACCAAGTCCTTCGCCCCAGTCTTCAATGCGTTTCGGCCAACCAGGCTCATGAAGTTGCGGGTTGTCGGCTCTGGATTTTCTCCACAAGCCTCATATGTTAAACACGAGGGCCATTTTTCTTCGGCGAACACGTAGACTCTCAGCCGCGACTGAGGAAGTCTGGGATGGACACACCGGACCACCCTCGGATGCCGTGGTCTTGGGTCACCAGGTTCCAGAGTGTCCTGTGCAAGGCTTCTACTTGTTTATTACACGTTTGGTCTGGGCACGACGAAAAGTGTACACTGAGCTGCTCTTCCTACTGGTACACCGCGAAGCAAGGCTCAGTCTCTAGGCATTTGCATCCCCGAGTGTGGCAACCTTGGCGAGCCTTTTTCTGGGGAACACTGGGCGTGTCTCAGAATGGATTTCGAGCCCCTGTTGGTAGGTATCCTATTTTGAGAAGCTCCACAGTTGGTGTTTTCGGTAGGTTTCATCATGTTTAATCCACAAGGAACAAGGGGGGCACTTAGCAAAGACTCGCATGTTTGCAGATCCAAGCAAAGCCCTGTATTTTGTAGGTAGGGGGGCACTTGTCACTGCCAGAAGGTGCTGGAAAGGCAAGAGTGGAGTAAGCTGCCCATGCGTACCTCTGACGAAATGGTCCACCATTCGTATTGGAGGGGTATTTATTTTAGGTTCTTTTTTTCTGTTTTTTTGATTCTTTTTCGCTTTTGGCTTTTTGGCTTCTTGGCTTGTTGGCTTCTTGGCTTCTTGGCTTTTCGGCTTCTTGTTGGTTTATGCGGCTTTTGGTGGCTTTTTGGCTGTGGCTTTTCGCATCCTCTGCATTCTCAGTTCCTCTTCGGCAGGTGGCGTTTTGGTTTTTGCGGCTTTTTGCTGGTTTATGCGGCTTTTGGTGGCTTTGGCTTTTCGCATCCTTTGCTTTCCCAGTTCCTCTCCGGGCGCTTTGGCTTTTGCACCCTTTCATTGGTTTTTGGATTTGGCTTCCCGCATCATCAGCATCACCAGTGTTCTCCCCATTTGAATCATCACTTCTTCGAACATCATGGTGGGGCTCCCCCCCACCCACCTGCTACTTTTTAGATTGTTTGCAGAGTAGTTGCACCCCTATTTGACTATTTGAATCAACACTTCTTCAAACATCATGGTGGGGGCTGCCGCCTCCCCCCAACCCCCCTGCTACTTTTTAGATTTCTTGCAGAGATTTAATTGCCCCCTATTTGAATCATCACTTTTTTCGAACGTCCAATTTCGCGAGAAAATGCTGATTTTAGGTAATCTATGTAATCCATGTATGTCTGTATGTATGCACTTCTTCGAACATCATAGGGGAAGCCACCTCCACCAACCCTCCCGCTGCCATAAAATTCTATCGCACCCGTTCTTGAATCATTGCAGCCCTACTTGAATCATCACTTCTTCGAACATCATGGGGGGCTGCCGCCCCCCCAACCCCCCCACTACGAGATTTAATTGCACCCCTATGTGAATCATCCCCCCAACCCCCCGCTACTTTTTAGACTTTTTGCAGAGCTATTCGAATCATCACTTCTGCAAACATCATGGGGGGGTTTGCCGCCCCCCAACCCCCCCGCTACTTCTTTTTTTTGAAGGGATTGAAATGCCCTCCTATTTGAATCATCATTTTTTGACCCCGTCAACCCGCCAGCTACTTTGTTGATTATGTTACCCACAATTTGTTGGTGATGCTAGGGATGTTGGCCGGACATGCGGGGGTTGTTGAACACGATGCTGGGTTGGCGGGCTAGTGCAAAATGCGTCAATTTCGCGAGAAATGCTGTAAAATACAACATTTTACTGGCCCGGACGAAAAACGAACAAAGTTCCCAAAAATCCAAAAAATGAATCCGCACCCATTCGTATTAGGAATTGGAAAAGCAGTTCTGGTCCAGGTTATTCAGCCTGGCGCTTGCATGGTGTGTGTGTGTGTGTGTGTGTGTGCTCAGTGTGTGTTTTCCAGAAGTGCTTTGCGTGACCCCCTTCTCAAAAGCAAAAGCAGGCCCTAGGGTCTATTTCTCCTGGGCTCTCCCACTAACAAACTGGGCTAGAGGCGATCCACAAGAGCCACCGAACCGAAAAGCCTTTCCCAATGAGAGGACCGGACCTGTTCAAACGCCCTCTTGCCAACTCCCAGCGAATGCCCTCGGGAAAGGGATACTCAAGCACTGTTCCCGGTCAAAGATGGCGACGGGTCAACGAAGTTGAAGCCAATCATTTCTGGGTGACAGTCTGTTGGTGATCGGAGCCAGGATCGTTTCACCCGTGGAAGGGAATGCGGATGTCGTGTTTGTCCAAGGCCAAAGCCAAGGCAACACAGAGAGTGGCCTGAACTGGAAGGCATCCTTCAGAGTTTGGCCAACCAGCAGGGGTTGACACCACGCAGTGTAAATCGGTCTGTTTGGAGTTTGTATTTTTTGCCCCGGCATGTAGCCACACATTTGGGGGTCCAATTTTGAGAGAACCCCACACATCTCTGATATCATGTTTGCTGTATCATACCAACACTACATATTAGGGACGAGGAACTGATTTGTTTGGGCCACGAAAGCAGAGAAAAGCTGGTGCCAAAGATCTGAGGGTGGTTGGGTCAAACTGTGCTGCTTGTGTGGTTTCCTTTTGGTTTCCCTTCAAGCGCATCAACAAGACGAGTTCCCTAGCCCGCTTTTCTGTCTTCAATTATGGACATCAAGAGTGGAGTTTCCTCCAGTTATGTTTACAGGTTGGACAGAAAGTTGAGCTGCTGAGCTGCAAACCAGGGTTGTTCAAGACGACCTGCAAGCGTCGGATGGCTTTGTTGGTCTTTTCCGAGGTGTGGAGCCTGGGCGTGGTCTCCTTCATTACAGTCAGCCCGGGCCCCAAGTTTAAACATGTCCCATTTGGGGCGGTTTGCGCATCCTTAAAGATTCTTGTTTTGTTTGCGGGCTCTTCGCCGAGAATCGTCAACCCCCAGACGGGGTCCTTTTCTACCAGGGTAACTGAGCAACTGGCTTTTGGTGGGGTGATGGTTGCAGGGGGCGTCGGCACGATTGGCCTTTATAACGCCACACACGTTTTTGCGGGCCGCATTGGTTGACCATGTTGACCCCTTGGATGGGTTCCAACAGATGAGGGTCTTTCCGGCCTTTTTTTTTCCTTCCGATTTTTGGAAATGGACACCAAGGCACAATATGGGCTCAGCCAGTTTGAAGGAAACCACAAAGTTGCCAGTCTAGGACACTACACACATTGTCATGTGCGAGCGAACGGAAGCTTGTTGGAACTTGTTTGGGGTCAGAAAACGTTACGGTGGCCCGGCGTTGCGAGCTCTCTTGTTGAGGGATCCAGATTCTGTGAGGGACACACTGTCATGTGAGCGACAGGGTTTTTGACGACCGGGGATTTGGGTGTATTTTGGCCAACGACCAAAAGTAGCTTTTTCGCCCTTCAAGCAACATGACCCCTTGATGAAAGGGTGTCTGAAACTAGGGGGCTCATTGGTTCTTGATTCCAAGCAGCCCAGATTCGGGGTTTAAGCAAACAAATACAGTTGATTTCGAGGACCGGACCCAAAGGGGGCTTTGGAAGAACCATGAGCAAGGCCAGACTTAAAACATGGTGCGAGTGTGCGGAATGGCAGCGCTCGATTCTGCGGAGTTTCGGGGGTCGAAGATCAGCCCAGCGCAAAGGCTGTGTCAGTAGGATTGTGTGTGTGTGTGTGTGTGTGCGCCATTTTTCTCTGTGTGCGTGCGTGCGCATGTCGCGCTTTTGCATACTCTTTCCCTCTCTCTCTCTCTCTCTCTTTGTCTGTCTGTCTGTCCGTTTGTCTGTTGTCTCGGTGCTGATTCCGCGTTGCGGCTCAGCAGCTAGGCCTGGAGGTGCCTTTTAAGCTGATGGAGCACAAGCAGCCCAAGCTGGCAGTGCGCTGGGACACCCAGTGGCTGGGGGGTCTGGAGATGAGCCAAGTTGCCGGGGTGTAGGGTTTAGGGTGTTGGGTTTAGGGTTGTGGTTGGCTGGGAGGGGGTTCGGTGGAGCCTATTTTGGAGCTTCTTTTGAATTTACGTTGACCGTGTTGCTTTCCGATTTCCTCATCAGGTTTTTTTTTGCGGGCTTGGCACACGCTGTGGACTCAAAGAATAAGATAAGGGCTGGCTGATGGCGGATTGCTCCATGTGCGCTGACTTGTTGGTCGATGGCGGCCACTGCTAGTGTTCAACATGCCGCCGTGCCATGCTCGAAGCTTCAATTAATGCCAACGGCTGAATCAACCTAGCGGACGAAGGGGGAGGGAACAAAACCGGGTGCTTCTTCACCCATGAGTCCATCGCGTTTGATGAATCCTGGATTTGCTTCCCACGTTACACGCATATTTCAGTTAATCCATTTGAACCTGCAAGTACCCCTCAGAGTTGAGGCGTTTGAACCTGTCACTTCGAGGCGACAACGAGCTGTCCTTCGAGTCTCGAGCTTGGGCCGACGCAAGCGACCAGTCGAAGCAATTTCTGCAGGCGCCAGACTTGGCGTGTGTGTGTGTGTGTGTGTGTGTGTCGTGTCTTTGTTTGAAAAGGGAAAGGGAGAAGCGAGGTGCCTCCATCTCATGGACACTCACTCATGATCATTTTCACATCTGTTTCTTTTTTCTCTTATACCTTATTCAGTTCCCATCTCCTCTTTTGGTTGGGAATGGGATAGTTTGAAGAGGACAATGAGATATGCCATCTCTTCCCATAGCACATCTCAGCCAATGCAAAGGAGATGGACCATTCCTTCACCATTACCTGCTTGAGGAAGGAATGGAGAGGGGGAGAGAGGGAGAGATGATAATGGCCAGCATCTTGTCTCCACTGCTGGGTCTGTAGGCAAGTTCTCATGCCGCTCCCTCGCTCTCGCAGGACAGAGAGCCATGCCCTAGGCTTCTCTCAGGTGAGAGAGAAGCACCCATCCCATTCTTGTCTCTTTCAAAGGTATCTCGGCGCCGGCTTGGGTTTTCTACGTTTTCAATGGCGAAGACTGCAAGGACCATACCGCCCCATCAAGCGTGGACACCAAGAGGTTGGAGGACCATTTTCCTAAGGGACATTCTGGGTGGGAAGGTGTGAGACTCCAATGCCGCGGCAGCTCATATTCAGGCAATTCAGGACACCGGCAAAAGCCGAAAAAATGGAAAACCCTCCTTGGGCATGTCTAAGTGTTGTTCTTTTAAATACTCCTAGTTAAACTTACATCGTACCCTACCGACAACCATGGAACCTTCAAGACGATCTTTCGCTTCAAGACATTCTGGTGAGTTCCATGAGGTGGGAGGGAGGGTAAATCGTCACTGATGAGTTGCGTTGGTTTCATGGCTTTGGCATAGATTGTTTTACTCCGTGTTTCAATCATGGCTTTGCATCCTATGTTGTCCATTCTTTCCAAATGTTAGTCTTTGACTTTTTCACCATTCATCAGAACCTGCTGCATGGGTTTTGCACCCTTTCCTTTGGCTTCATGTCTCCTTGTATTCGCTCCAATCCCCGGTGTGTTTGGCGCCTCTTTTGGTTCTTCGCCAGGGCCTGCTGGACAAAGTGCCAAGCAGCCGCCTGACCACCGGGGCGCCTTGGAGAAGATGGGTGTGATTTCATTTTTGGCTCAGGGGAACCAAAGGGAAACTAACGATTTTTGGGTTCCGCTCATTGCAACACCACCTCAAGTGGGTGTGGCTCCTGGTTTTGAGCGCACCAGAGCCCTGTCGACTTGTAGGGGATGTTCCCTCATTCTTGTTTGGGGATGTCGTGCCCGGAATGGTTGCGGAGAAGTGAAGGCTCACTTTTTGGTTTTAGATTGTCCACAGATTTGCAGAAGTGTAGAAAGATTCCTGTGGTATTTTGGGCATTGCAACTCCAACATTTGAACACTTGCCGCAGGGCTTGCCGGGTCTTCCGAGGAACCACGACGGATTCTTGCAAGCAAGTCAATCGACCGCAAACCATGGTACGTGACCAGGTGCCCCTTCCCTTGCAACCTGTAGGGAAACAACCGCACTTGCAACTCCAAAAGCGCATCACCCCCCTGCTTTGGTGAACAAGATCGAACCGTGTTTGGCGTAGATTACTCTTGAAGCCAGGCCATTTCACACGTCCCAAGCTTCGAAGCAAATCAAAAAGACGCCCCTAGCGGGATTTAGAGCAATACACGTTGCCTAGCACTGGGTCTGCGCAGGCCTGAACAAGGCCACAGAAGTTCTTGGAAAGGGTTGCGACTTGGATGCTTGCAAGGTGAGAAGTGCAGGAAGGACCCTGGGGGTTTCACAAGTTTTTGCGGCTCCAGGGCTAAGGTTTGGTTCCAAAGGCTTGGTTTCAGGGCTCGTCTCAAAGGCTTCGCCGGCCCCAAAGTCAAGTCTTTGCTTCAGGAGGCGCTGGCGCATTGTTGGCTGACCGCCAGCCTGGAGCCCATTGCTGAAGGCGGAGCTGCGAAAGGGTCGGCTGATTCACCATTTGTCTTGGTCCGGGTCATGTTTGGAAGGTCTCTGGAGGTTCTGAAAGTCAGTAACCAGGGTGACTTTGAGAATGGGCAAATGCTGGGGCCGGCTGTTCTTTTCTCTTTCGTTTGCTTCATTTTCTATTGCCTGTTGCCTTTTTCCCCTTGTTTCCCTGTGTTTCCTGTTTCAAGGTGTGGCCATCTTCCCCTTTGATTGACAAGTTGGATCATGCTTATTTGAAGGGGCTGTGGGAGTTTTGGTGGAAATGCAAGTGACCACCTCATGTGAAGTGCTGGCGGACTTCTTGATCACCATTCAAGTGGGACTTTAGTTGGACCAGCATCAAGTTGAACCAAGACACTTGGAGGGGTTGAGGCCGTTTGGTTAGACATTTCGTTGGTCCACCTCTATAGAGGTTTGTGGACGTTCGAGAAAACTTATGTGACTTATGTGCTATTTCTGAAGGTCACGGTAGATCCCCTTGTAAAGTAGGTGTATGGACTTCTTGGGATCAAGAATCAAGGTGGACCCCGGAGATTCCAGGTTCAGCCAGACCCGTCTTAGATGTCTGAACCCGAATTGCGCTCAAAGGGGTTTCACGGGAATTGATTGCCCTTATGCTTAACCTGTGGACGTGGCACTTGTTATGTGTTTCCTTGTTTTCCTTCTTCCCTTTTTGTCCAGCCCATTTAGCCATTTGTCTAGCTGTTTATGAGTGTGTATATGCGTGTCTTGTTTGATACCCTTTTCAGGTAGCTTTTAACGGCAAATCGCAGGGAAGCCGCCATCGGGTTCCAAACCCATATCTTGACACAGACCCTTATGCCTTTTGTTGCAAGGCGCCTCGCCCGACAACGGCGTGCTGCCGCCGCTCACCGAGCGCCGCCTGCCGGCGCGTTCTCGGCGCTCTGAGGCGCGAGCCGGAGCCACGGCATGGGGTATGTTCCCCAGATTGATGCGGAGGTCGGGTTTGGGGTAGGAATTCCTCCCCCCTTTTTGGATGGTCAGATTCCGTTTTCGGGCCAGCTTGAGTGAGTTGCCTTTTGGCGAGTTGATGCTCTACAAGAAGCATATATGTTTTTTTGTTTTTCACCTTTATAACTGTAAGTATATATAGAGAGGCATAAACTCATTTCCAAGGCGAAGCCCGGTTTGAAGGGGAATTCATCAGAAAACGCTCTGCGTGGTTTTGGGGTAGGCACCCATGGTCCCTCTACACTCTACACCAGTCCTTTACTCGAAAAATGAACAGTTTGCGCCTACACATTTCCACAAGGTTGCCCACCTTCTGTACTGGGCGCCAAATAGCCCATAGTTATCTTACCGCAAGGCAAACCAAGAGGGGACGGGCATGTTTTGTTTTTGTTGTCCAACATAAAACCAAGCGAACACGTAGATAGTAATGATAGATGTTGTCAAAGTTGAATAAACATACTAAAATGACTAAAACCTTTTTTTGTTTTTTTAAATCACTAGTACTACTGTGATCAATAATACCACTATTTAGCCTACCACATTATTTGTTTTATCAATATGTTGTTTAGTTCACGATGTCTGTATTGTGTGCAAACGTATAGAAAAGTATGTTGGTTTGTTGAAACCACCATTTCTCATGTCTCCCATTAAATAAGTAGTGTCCATTGTTTCTACCAGTTCCAAATCAATGTCCATGTCACTAACTATACCTTGAACTACAATTGATATAGATAGCACTTGAACAAATGACTTATTGCTTGACGCTGACAACACACATTTTATATATGTGGACCTATAAGCAACTACTAGCACATTTTATATTTTCCAGTCGCCTGAAAGCCGCTGCCTCAGGCGGGGCTCTTCGAGTCCATGGCTATGGCCCCCGAGCGGCTGGGCGAAAAGCGTCAGTATATATATACATATATTTGTATTTATATTTATATTTATATTTTTGTATGTGTGTTTGCATGTCTGTGTGTCTTGTTTTGTGTCTTGTTGTTTAAGGGGGCCCGTTTTGGGGCTCAATTGAAGGGAAACCACAAGGAAACCCGCGCGATTTTGCAGGGCCCCTCTATTTTGACACATACCATTATGGGCATGTAACTGGGGACCCTTTGCTTGACATCATTTTCATGGGGATATATATATATATATGTGGGCAGCTGACAATATGATTGTTTCGGAGGCGTTGGAAAGGGAAAACGCCTTCGGGAGGTCGCGCTCTTTCCCAGTGCCGCTGTGTTGGTTTACCCAACAGGGCATTCATGTACATAAGAGACGGAATCTTTTCCGCAACCCCTAAAAGTTCTACTGAAATTTTGAAGCGCTGGATTTTCAGTCCTGGCAACACCAGTTTGGGCTGGTTTTTCCAACCCCCTTGTTTATTTTTCACTTTGCCAGTTTCAGCATGAGCTCCAGTTCCCCGCCTCCGGGCCTCTGTCCGATGTGAGTTGATTCCGCCAAGCCCCGAATCGTTGAAGCAAACAGAAGCAAAGCACATTTAGCATGGCAAATGCATTTCAAAGCTGTAATGTAGTGCTTGGTTGACTGTCACAGAGTAAAAGCCGACTAGACATCGACCCTGCCAAACGGCACCCGTGAAGAGGGGGGGGCGTTGACTTGCTTTGACATCCTCGTTCGCTCCCAGGTGTGTGCTCTCAACGCGGCTTCCGCAAACTGATCTTGGGGTTTCCACCCACGTGGGCCCCTTCAAGTGGTTTCATGTAAATTATTGTTATGTTTTGGGAAACGCCGTGGTTTCCGTTTGAATGAATTGATTTCTGGGGCCCGTTTGCCCTTCAACCACCGAAGAAGGATTGGCCATTTTGAGGATGTCTTACAATGGACCCGCTGCCGGACGGAGGAGCATGCTGGCCGGGGAGGTGGCGACCTAGGCAGATGGGCGCATTTCAGGGGGATGGGGGGGAATGCCCTCCAGCTACTCCTGGGTCAAATTCTAGCCCAACAAATAGGGGGCACTTTCGGAGGTGGGGGGATTTCTCCCAAAAGCGATCCGGATTTCCTCTTAAATGGGACGCCATCGCAATCAACCAGGCAGGATGATTGGGTCTGTCAGAGCGGCGCGGAGTTTGTGGAATATTGCTTTGGCAGAAGCGCGGGTTATCCTTGCGTGTCCTTGGAGATGAAGGATGGTGCGGTCGTAGCGGCTGGGCAATCACACTAGATATACACGCTCTAGCAGCTTGATTTTTAAGATGCCGTCATAGATTGTGCCTGTGCAAACATTGCTTGCTCGCACCATCATTAACACATCGCAAAAAAAAGAGCTAGCCGGAACGTTCATGATGGCTCCGCGTCACGGCTTGGTCTCGCTTGGACATGTCTTACTGCTGCTAGGGTAATCTAGGGTGTCAGCACAAAGCACGGGGGGGCTGGCATACTTCTCATCGATCAATACACCAAGCATCTTGTAGGATCCGGCCAGATCTTCTCAAAGTCTTCGGCAATGAACATAGTGTGGAAAAAAAAAAACATGCGGTGCTCAACCTGTTTTTTGCACATCCACGAAAAAGACAGCTATTGATATCGAAAAACAAATTATAACAATGGACATGTATCACAGGTTTCCCGGATTTTAATGAACTATTGGCGCAAACGTGGTAGCTGATTATTGTTTGCACTAGCTCAAGCCTGCTTACCGTCTGGTCTTGACATTCAGTGCCTGGTGTGTTGCAATTTGAAACCCATCCCACGCCCGCAAACCAATTCAAATTAGAAATTGCAATTTCAGGTTTCAATTGCACCGTTTTACCGTGGATTTGACACATCCAAAGAAACTCCTTGGATGATGCCATTAGTTTCCTCATGCTGGCGCACGCTGCAAATTTGGACAGGGGCCGAAGCGAGACCCCGCAAAATGGATAGCGTCATTGATGTGAAATGGGAAGACCACATATGGTAAGCAGGGTTTGTCAGGGTTGAACATCCCATTAAACAAAAAGGAACATGTCAGGTAAGCCTGGTTTGGAGGTTTGGTTTTTTGAGTGGTTTCCTATTTAACTTCAACAAGAAGAAGGGGTTCGCATCCCCAATTCAAACCAACTAGGGCAAGGTGAACATATGGGGGGAGCGGCAAGAGTCGGTCTTCCAGAACAGAACCGATGGGCATTTTTGCGCCAGGCGACCCAGCAGATCATTGCACCGTGTGAGTTGATGAGAGCAGGGTCGGCCTTTTTGACCCCCTGGACACACATGCCGTTGATGTTCAACAGGTCCCTAGTTGAAATTCATACCCATGTGGACAAATCCTCCAGATCCTTTAGATTTCCTTGGAGGTGAAAAGGCGAGCCCTGGGCAAAAGGCCAATCTCCCACAGAGTGGGCCGCTGCTCGAGCAGCTGCTCTCTTTGTGCTTGGGGGGCCGAGGATTTGCGGATGTGGCACCCACGGTGTGTCCCCCAAAAATATGGGGAGGCCACTGTTTGTGCTTTTGAAACGGGGTTGCTCCGAGCGCATTGGCATTGGTTCCCTTTAGTTTTCCTTGTCCAGACCTACTTCCATCACTGAACGGGCAGGAGCAACCCGGTCAAAGGATGAAGCTAAGCACCCGGTCACCTCGATCGACCTCATAGACACCATGTGAATCACTTCCGTAGAGCCACTCAGGCAGGGTTTGTCTCACTGAAGTCAGGGCAATGCTCTGGCAGTGTCAGCTTGGGCCCTGTAAAGGTAAAGGAGGAATTGTCCATCAGATTCCTATGGATGTGTCGTACACATTCCGGACCCCTCAAGATGGTTTCGACCCTCTATTTCCTGAACACCAAAGGGTTCCCCATTTTGAATTTTGACGCCCTGTTTTCGCAGGCACATGTTTCGAGTGCTTCGAATTCCACCGACTGAAAGCCCAACCCCCTCGTGCCGTGTACAGACCAGTGAACAGCCCCGGTGAGAAGTCGCAAAGTTCTTGCGTGCGGATTGATTGGTGAGTTTTGCGCTGGGTTGGCTGCAAAATCCGGGGTTCCCTATACTTTGCCTTTTGGTGGTTTTGAAACATCATCTTTTGGTGGGGGTGTTTGAGGAGGATGTCTGGGGAACCCTCAGCATGGTTTGAGAATAACGCGAGGCGGGGCATGAAGAGAAGCCGTTGTTTGTTGAAACAAGTGTCAACATCAACCCTTGTCAGGTTTTTGCGAGTAAAAAATCATTTGGTGCCCCAAAGGCACCACTCGAGTTGATCAATTTGGCCGCTGTTCGGCTTTCAAGCATCGTGGATGTGGAGCCTTGACACAACCCTCGTATTCCAAGGTGCACCCTCGCATTGTAGGTGTTCGCCCGCGATTTTACTGTCTAAGCGAGAAACAATTTGAGTAACCGATTTCAAGGTGGAGGGCTCCTTGCCTTTGCAAGTCCGAGCCTACGCGACCTGCGACCGGCGTCCTTGTTGATGGAAGTTAAGAGCCAATGGGATCAAGGGCTGTCGAGAATCCAGCGGAAAAACCTGAAGAGACAGGATACCAGCCGATTGAATGGCAATCTGCGAGAATATGGTTGGAAGGGGAAATAGCAAGGAAAGCAAGCATGGTTCGTGAAGGGTATGGACATGACACAGGTGGTTGTGAGGGAACTAGAAAAGACGAGATCCAAAGTGGAAACTGGAAGCACTGGGATAAGAAACGGAATCGCAGGACAGAAGATGCTGGAATTGGAGAACTTGGTAGGCAGGTAAGATAAATCAGGTTCCAATGTGGCAAATTTTGTAGAAACAACACGGCACTAGTCAAACCATATCTGATCCAGAAGCAACCAGGGAAAACCACAATTTGGAAACTAAAGTTGGAAGCGCAGAGGCTAGTTGCCCTTTCGTGGCGTTTTCTGCCCGAGATGGGTAGCCTGGGTTCCTTTTGTTCCCAGGTTGCGCTTTCCCAAGTCGCTTGGAACGGTTGGCTCTTGCCCTTCAAGCTTTGGCTCAACAAGCATAGCTCGCTTGCCGTTCGGCGCTCACCGCCGCGATGTTCGCCTCAAGGACCACGGATTCTCACGTCTCACGTGGTTGGCTGAGACAATGGGTGACCATCCGTCTGAAATTGGAGAGGAGCCTTGGAATCTTTTGATTTGTGGTTCCAGAAACCCGTTGCGGGACGAATAGGCGCGCTCCCGTACCGAGACTTGGCATGACACAACCGAGTGGTTCTCAAATAGGGGTCCCCTATAGGTTCCCCATAGTCGTTGGTTTCCGTTTGGTTTCCCTTGAAATGCCAGCTACATGGAGGTCCGAAAGCCATTTTGAGAAACACCCGGCTGCAAGCTTGGGCATGGGCCATGACCTGCAGCTTTTTTCATGAGCAAGCCTGACCGATCGAAGAGAAATGCCCAACGCCGCCAGACATCCCAGAACGACAGACCAAAAGCAACCGAAAGGGCTGCTCCAAAATGACCAAACTGGGGTTGAACATGGCCCATTTGGGGCCCTTTTGTTTCTCTTTTACAGGGGACCAACTTTGTTGACCCTGCTTCCACAGAGCCCGGGCAGAATATCCTAACTGAAGGGAAACCCGAAGCTCATGGCAAATCCATATGAGACAAAAGGGACCCCGTGGGAACTCATCTGGAGAAGAAGGAATATGGTATCCAGGTGGCCGAAATTTCGAAACACCATGGCACCACATTTCGGGTTCAGACCTTAGGATGTTCCTTTTTGACCAGGAGCTGTGAATCAGAAGGCTCCGGGCACTTCTGGTTTCCCAAGGCTCGCCCAGAAAAAATAAAAAGAACAACAAACACACAGTTTTGGACTCCTTGCTGCCAGAGCCAAGTCACGGGGAGTTTCAAAGGCCCACCAAAGGGGGGGGAACACATCAGCACAGGCAGTTCCCCCGATTCTCTTCCGAGCTACGCCCCGGGGCAAGAATTATGATCACGGCAGCCACCTGCGTACCCACTCACATGTTGCTCGTGTGAAAGCTACCAGAACTAGGTGACGCCAAAAAGCGCCATTGAAGTCAATTGCAAGCGTATTTGGCTACACGCCCCAGGATTTGCGCCCGTCGTTCTCTAGAGTCACACTGGGAGAACTGCAAATTCACACGGCGCCCAACAAGGAAGTCCCCCAGAAAGAGATTCCTCCCATTGTACGCTTGCTTGTCTTGAGTCCAGCTCAATCTATTTGGAGAGTGCCTTCAAACCATCAACCCACACCGCCAATTTGGGGGAGGGCGGGTTTCTTGGGCCATGTTGGAGCGCTCCAACATGAGGCACCTTTGGCCCTAGTATCTTTGTGGGTCTGTGCTTGGACTCTGAATTCTTTCCACCTTTGAACAACTGCCCCCAAAGAAGAAATGGCCTTCTGCGGCTGGGAAGCCAGCCTGGAACTATGACCTGTTGCTGAATCGATGCGACTTCCTTGGAGCCTGTGGCCTTTGCTCGCTTCGGAAGACGCAGGATGGCCCTTTCGACCAAGATGATGGTGGGCGTGAGCATCAAGGCGCCTGGAGGGGAAGGGGAAGGGCAACGGGACCCACCTGAAGCCTCCAATGATGTTCCTTGACCACAGCAGCAGCAAAGATGGATCAAGAATATAACTAGCAACATGATTGGTGGATCCATCAGTTGGTTGTTCATGATTGGCAAGTAAGGGGATCACTAAAAGTACACCAAAGAGGAAGCATGTTTCAATTTTCCCCTTGCATGATTGTTTTGCTCAGCATCCCTGATCTCTCTGAGATTCGGGTGGCGAATGCTCAAAATGGGTAGGATGTCCATGCGTCAGCCCACGCTTGGACGATGGGAGACCGTTCCCCAACATCTTCCGCGGCTGGACATAGGTTGAGGAAATGGTTTCGACCCTTGCAGATTAATATGGAAACCTGGAAAAGCACACACACACACACACACCCCGCCATTGTGAGGAATCTCTTTGTTGGGGTTCCCCGTGAAATTTTGCAGGGAACAAAAGCGGCACGCAGTGAGCTTGTCCAAGAAACGGGCGGAAACCTACAATGACATACATCATTGCCAAAACTTCAGAACTGTACCTGGCCATCGCTGGAGAATGGTCGGCCAGCCCAGGAAATAAGAACAGACGACTGCCGTTTTGGGTTTGTCTTCCTATTGGGGACAAACCGCCCAGCATGATTTTTACGAATCCCCACAATTGATGTCCCTTTGATGTCCCTTCGATTTCCCTTTGCTTTCCCCTTGAAGCAAACCTACAAAGGTGCAAACGCAGTCGAAACCAACCAACGCCTTCGATGGGACACGAGGCACCTAGTTTGCTCCTTGGTGCGGTGTTTGTCTTCTTCAAGTGTAGAAATTATCCGTTGAATCCAACTGTTGTTTTGTTTTGGGTTCATATGCCAACAACATCCTCCCGATTGGGCATATATCCCATGTTTTTTCATGATGCCCACAATGGGTCCAACCAATTATACAGATATACAGAGTTCATCCCCACAAGGGTTTGTCTCCAAATGAGAAACCTTCAAGCTGTTTGGCGTCCTTTTTGCTTCCCGCCCAAAAAGGGAACCCTCGAAACAGACACGCGAATATATCAACCATAGCACGGGCCAGCATTTCCTCCAAGCCGCCTTGCAACACACATCGGCTGTCCTACATGCGCAGATGTTTAACCGTTCCCATATTTGCCTGCTAAACAAAAAACACCAAAGGTAAACGGACTTTCATTGGCCCAAAGAGTTTGCCCTCTTGGACGCCCTTCTACAATAGGACCATTCTGATGCGTTGTCTGAGAGGTGAGGCAGGCAATTCACAAGCGGGTTCTTTTCACGCAGCCTTGGGAGCACCCACATGTCTCACATGACTTTATGGGTTTTAGAAGGCGTTTGGTCCATGTCCTGTAGTTGTTCCTTAAGAAGCTTTCACTGCCCGGCTCCCTAGCGAACCCCATCCCTTTGGTTGCGCCTCTGTTTTGAAACCCTCGAATTGCGAGATCGGAAGTACGCCTGCCCCGTCGTTATTTCTGGTGTTGCGGTTTGATTGCTAACCTGTTTCCTTGTTTTGCCCCCTGAAGAGTGATGCGGTTTCCCTTTTCTCTCCCCCCCCCCTTCACCTCCCTCAAAGGCAACACTTGAAGTCACCAGGCCTCGTGACCTCTGCAACACCAGGGCTGCGTTCCTGGCTGTGCTTCACGAACCGTCCAAAGGCATGGCGACTTCGGGGGTTGGATCTAAGTGTGGGGGCGCCTTCGGCGGCTTGGTCATGGCCCTCAGGCAGCTCGGGTTTGGTACGACCAGCCCCATTCGCATGGACCCATTCGACGACATCTCTGTGACCGCCCGGGAGAAGTCCAAAGTGCGCCTGGAGGAATGAGCCAACCTGGACTTCTCAAGGTTCCAACTGGAGCTGAGAGCGCCGTTGACCCTTCCAAATGGCACGACTCAAGTTGCGGATGCTGCACACGGAACTGCGTATCCCGAAGGTTTGCGCCGTTTTTGTTTCGAGTGTTTTCGGGGTTATCTCGGTTGCTTTCCCCACGCCTTTTGTTCCAGATGTTCCTCATGTTGCTGGCCTTTCCTTCATTGCTTGTTTTGCCTTTCCCAGTGATTCCATTTCCCTGGCAGCCAAACACCTCAGGAGACTGGCTGCAAATAGCAGCAAAGCTCGGAAAACGGAAAAATGGAAGCTCCCAAGACCTCCTACACGCGGTTCAGTGGCGGACCTTCCCGCGTTCCGCGCGTTCCGCGCGTTCCGCGTGGCGTCAGGACATCCAGGGCGCCACCCGGGCAGTGCGGAAGGCCATCGACCTGGCCCAGCCCGGCGACAAGGCGGTCTTTTTGCGGCCCACGTGGGACGAGGTGAAGTCCCAACGCGGACCGCGGGGTTCCTTTCGTGTTTTCCTTTGTCCCCGAGAAGGGGCGCCAAAAAACTCGGCAAGTGGCTCTAGGAGTTCTAGTTGAACCCCACGGTTGGTGGGCGTAAAGCCCGCCGAAATGATGTCAGGTCCAGTTGAAATCATGTCCAAATGGGTGTGGAGACCATTCTGGTTTCCAATCTCAACGCGCGCTGTTCAGTATTGCTTGTGTGGGTAAGGGAATCTTAAGAGACCCTCCAAAGCCAACCACAAGGGTACCAAAAGAGACATACCCAATGAGGCTTCCCCAAGTGCGTTTCCGAAACCGCGGCTTCCCTTTTAGCCAGCAGCAACCAGGGGGCCTTTGGTTTATGTCCATTCGCTTGCTATTCGCTCGGGTGTTTAGGGGCCGTGCCCGGTTCAACGAGCTCCAGGGATGGGGGGGGACAGCGAGGGATTGCTGAAGGTTCCTTCCTTGGGGGTTTCAATGTCACCCAGGGTTTCAGGAAGGTATCTGCTTAAAGTACATGTTAGGTCAATGTTTTCAACCAAACCCTTCTCTGGCTGTTCAAACAGGACAACTATCCACTTTTGGGGTGCCCAATTTCCAGACTTGTCGCGAACAAAGCATATCGACTTCACAAGACTTTGCAACCTTGAAGACCTTTGTGGGGGATTCCGAGGATTGCAGCATGGTTTGCCCAGAAGAAACTTGGGTGCTTTAGGTTGCCTTCGGTGAGCCATGGAAATCCCTCTCGTGAACTCATGGGAATCCATCTAGGGTAGGACGCGACCTTGGACACGTTTCGATGCGGAGAGTCAAAGGATCTTGTTTGGATCTTGTTTTCACGGTTGGGTGACGGTGTTTCAATACTCCCATTCAAAGGGCCCTCCAGAGGTTGCTTTCCCTCTTGCTTCAAAGCTTTCTTTGGATGCTCTTTTTGGGCCCTCAGATCGTGGCGCTGAACATCCCCAAGCTGGTCCCGGAGATGATGCTTTCCTCGATGAACGACCCCGGGGATGCCACGGAGGACATTTCTTCGGGCGGCTGTTTAAGAGATTTCCCAGACACGCCCATAGCGGTCTTTTCAGATATGGGTCCGCACATATTTCCGGCTAGTTGAACCATGACCAGGTGAGTTTCCTCCTGATCTGCAAGGGGGACTCAAGGCTGCCTTGAAATATGAATCAAACCTAGGCGTCCCTTGTTTTCCTGTCAACCAGCCACGTCATGCTCGAGCTCTTGCAGCCGGCTTTCCAGTCGGTCACCAACGCTTGCATGCAGATTCTACATGTTTCCAGTTGATTCAATTTCCTGGACCCTGAAAAACTCTGGATCCGATACCTCGTAAAGCCTACCCAAAACCCTGAATGGGCCAAGCGTGTGTGCGACACTCATGTTTTGCTCTGTTACAAAATGTAAAAAGACGGAACGCCTTAGCAGAAGCTTTTAATAAACCTTATCAATGTCCATCTAAGTTCCAATTGATGTCTAGTCAACTTCCTTCTAAAATCTCATTGAAACCGACATTTCCAATTGAAA